CAAGATCATTAGAAAAGTATCATCTTTTATCCTAAATAGTTCACAGAAAAAGTACTCATTTGCACACAAAAAATAAGAAAGAAACAAGCACAGCACATGAAGAATGTTCTCAGCAGCAGATAATTAGCAACACAAAAAGTTTCTACTATACTACATTATTCTTGTTGTCTTTGCAAATCTAGTCTACCGAGGGGGGAAATTGTCTGAAAATGCAATGATTAACATGTTTTCTGTAATTACCATTTAATAAATCTTCCATAATAGCCTTTTTTTTCCTTGTCATAACTGAAATTTGTTAGTTTCACAATTTGAATATGATAGAATGAAAAAAAATTTAGATTTTGTTTATATATGCCTTAATATGGTGTGATGAATTCGAAGATGAAATAAAATCCATCCCTTTCAAATAAATAAGTAAAGAAAACAATACTCAAATATATCATAATCATTTCAAAATGAGTTTATATATCATCTTTGAACTTAATTTTACAGAGGAAATTAGAATTTCAAGACAAATCGAATTCTGCCAAGCATTAATGTTTGTGCAAAATTCATGTACTTTACGAATTTGATTGATGCATGAACCATCATCAATATGCATCTCATGCACATATAAGTCAATTTAAGGCCATATGAAGCAAATTTGTCCCTCAACTTGTTAAGTTCTTGAGTCTCTTCTAAAGTTATCGTATTAGTCCTTCGTGTTTCAAAATATTTAGGAGGGGTTCACATAGTGACATAGTCCCACTACCGGAGCTAAAGAAGATCGATAGTTTACTTTTCATTCTGAATATGAAATTAAAATTCAAATAGAAAATAAAAGGAATGTAAATAGTCTTTCTTTTTTCTAGTGTTGTTTGAATATTTTATATTTAATTAAATATAATAAGTAACAAGCATTTTTTACTTTTTGGCACCTGCATAGAGGGAATAAAAAAAAAATTAAACATAGTTCTTCCCCAATCAAGTTGTTAACATAAGACAAATAAAACTCTTTCACGATACTTTATGCCATAGTTAATTTCCCATACAGATAAGGTCAGACAATGAAAAGTTTACATAATTTTCTTATTGTTCTTTGGAGCTAATAATACCATAGTTTTCTAATTCTTCCACCCTCACCCGTTTCCTCTTCTGTACAACTAATTACTACTTGAAAAAGACACGTTGGGTTCGATCAGTCATCAGAGGTGCAGGAAACTCAAATACGATAAACTGACAATTATGCACAGTACTAAACTATCATTTGAAGACAAAATATTTCAAAATTCAATAAATCACTCTGTAAAACAAAATCATAAATTACCCTAATGTAATGGCAAAAAAGGAACTAAAAAAAAATAGAGAGAGAGAGAGAGAGATAGGGGTTTACAGTGACAGCAGTAGCGGAGCGTGAAGGCTTGGCGTTGGCGACTCGGTAGCAGCAGGTACAACTCACAAGCCTGGAGAAAGCTCGATGTTTAATCACACCAGAAGTGCGGAGACTGCCGTGCTCAGCAGCTGTCGAAGTACCTCCGAGTACTAGATCGATTTGGGAAAACCAAATGAGAGAGAGAGAGAGGGAGAGAGGGAGAGAGAGAGAGAGAGAGAGATGATGGGAGGAGGAAGAATAATGGAAGAGAGAGAGGCTGATTTGGTTTTCAAATTTGTCATCTAGTCGTGTCTCATTAATGAAGGATATACAAGGTATTGAAATTATTAAAAGGGCTAGAAATGTCCAAATATCTCCAAAAATGACAATTTTGTAATCTCTTTAAAAAAGTAACATTTTTGTAAATGCAAACCCAAATTTTGACATATAGTGTAATTTTCACTAGTGTAATTTTCACTTTATTTTATGATGATTTATATGAGTGATAAACATTTTGAAGAGTACATTTCAAGGCAAATAATGCAACAGTTTGCTGTGAAATCCTACTTAAAACTTGAATTCTTATGTATTTCCGTTCCTTCTGGGATAATGATTATGGATAATGATGATATGCAGCGAGGGAAGATAGGATTGTGACTGAATTCTCCAAAATCTAGGATTGTGATCAATCAATTTGCTATTTAATACTACTAATATTAAAAGTCAAGTTTATGTGGCATTAATATGATATTAAACTTCTGTTTGTCTCCTTTTTTATAGAATTTTTGGGAGAAAATAATTTTTTTAATAGTGATTTTTTGGTGAATACGTGATTAAAAAATAGGGAAAAAATTCAGTTTACATGTAAAATATTTTATTATGTGAATATATGGTTGAAAATGAGTATGAAAAAAAAGTTGAAAAAAAGGGAAATAAACATGGATTAAATGAGATATATAGTTGAATGAATTAATGCCTTTCATTGAACTTAAGGTGTGTTTGATAGCACGCATTTTTTTAAGGCTATATTTACCCGACCTGAGAGCTCTTTTCATTGGTCTAACCGCCATACTATTCACAATTGCTGTAATTGAATCCTATGTAGCATCTACATCAAAAATTCAAGTATTGTATACGTCATTAGTCCGATCCTTTGCCACCTGGGGCTGTAGTATGTTCCAAGGGTTGGGCTATTCGCCCATTAAAGCGGTACGTGAGCTGGGTGGTGACTCATTATTTCGATGAATCATTTCTTCGGACAGAAGACAGCTTGCCCAGTCAGAATCTGAGAAATCGTAGTTCTTTAAATCACATTTGGAAGGAATCCGTTGGGCAGGCGGATTCACATCTCTTACAACCAACACAGTCCTCGGTCCTTGGGGCAGAAGCAATTTGTTTAGCGAAATTAACGATACTTCTTTATCTTTTGAGTTGTTCTGCCGGATCGGTCGCTCAAGATCTTTGGTCGATTCAACCTCACTTTTCTTTATGCTTTGTGAAGAAGTCATTCTTTATTTGATCTCCCAACAAATTCATATTGCCCTCTGAAAAAAAAAATCGAACTTTAAACAAAATTATTTTGATTCAACCAATGAGAGAGTTGAAAAAGCACTATCTCTTCTATACATCTGCCCTTTCTCAACGCATTTCCATGGAAAATGAAAAATCAATATCATTTTCCAATTTTTGTAGTGTTTGATAGGTGAAATTTTCTATGGAAAATGAATTGTACATTTCTTAGCCACATTAGCATTTTCCATGAAAACCTTAAATTCCAATTACAGTGAGAATTGAAATTCTCGGTTGCTGTAGCAATTTTTTAATTTTTTAATTTTTTAATTTTTTTTTTTGCAATGGAAATAAATTCTAAGAATTATTGTAAAAAAATATTTCCCTTTAACCGATAATTTTTATGTAAAACAAAGTCAAACAAACATCAAAAGATATAGTTTTTTTTTGTTGGCAATAGAAACAAATTTCATACCCAATACCAATAAATTCTATTCCTTTAATTGATAATTTTCATGTTAAACAAAGTCAAACAAACATAAAAAACACTTTTATTTCAACATTTTTACGTGAAAAATTATATCAATCAAACACAATAATTTACAATTCCCAGAAAAATAATTTATAGACAATTCAATTCCTTGAAATTAATTTCAACTCAATTCAATTTCATCATTGCAATCAAACAGACCCTTATTATTTAAGGTTGTAGCACCATGATCCTAAGCCTTGTTTGTTTCCCATTTTTCCCCAATTAAAATAAAAAATATGATCGTTATTTATCACATCAAGTCATGAAATTTGAATTTATATCACTTGTGTGATCATAACGACTATATTTTTTATTCTTATTTTTACAAAAATAGGAAACAAACGCCCCTTAAATATCATTATTTTTTATCAAAACGGCACGTTAAAATCTTGGAGTTTCCTTTTTCTTTGCTTATAATGGGCTGGCCCACTAGCCTCTTAGATTTAGCCTATATATTTCCTTTTCTTTTTGAAACCGTTTTAGTCAATTTTCAACTTTTTAAGCTGGAAATTACGACAATGTGACCAGTTTTAGAACTGTTTTTAAGACAATCCTAATTTTCAGCCCTTACAGGACGTCACAGGTCCGTCACTGTGCAGAGGCGGGCCCCGCCATGCATAGAAAAACAAAATTGTGGGGGCCCGACCCCTTGAGTCTTGCTTGGCAGGGGCCTGCCCGCAGCTTGGTTTCGAATCCATAGCAACTGTCGAAGGACAAGTGCTTCTGGTCTGCATTTTTCAGAAGAAACTTATACAAATTTTGGATATTATATTAATCTTTTCAAGATTCGTTGGAGAGTGAAAGGCCATGGAGAAGCTGAAACAATTGTGGGGTGTAATTGTGATTGGGTTTGTGCTGAGCATATGGGGTGTCAAAGGTCATGAATTTGACGAATTTTTTAGCAATAAAAGTAAAGTGACATTCTTGGAGTCCATTTATGGAGCTTCAGCTGCATCTGTTCCTCCAAATGCTCTTATGGTGGGTCTCACTCTCGTTCAAGGAGCTGCTGCCAAAGGCGCTGGTAATTTTTCTTTTCTTCAGCTTGCTTTTTAGTACATTTTTGCTCGATTTATTCCTGCCATTGCATTTATGTTTTTTAATTAATTTTTCCCCCAGAAATTGTGTGTATTTTTTTGGGTTTATACTTGTGTTCTATGCTTCTGGGATGTTTATATCTTGCATTGGATAGATCTTGTAATTTCATAGTTTCTTGTTACTTTATCTTCTCGTTGATGGCTACAATATTTCGATGTTGAAAATGACTTTAGTTTTTTGGGGTAATTATCTAAATATTCAGGTATTTAACTTCGGAATGACTTGATTGTATGCATCTTTACTCGTATTAAATTTAGCCAATCATCATTTCTATTGGGCTATCATAATAAGCCGAGGCAAAATTTATTCTTGACAGAAAAATACTCTTATTAATTTTCCGTGCTAAACTCATATGGTAAATATTACTGGAGGAGTCCTATAGAGATTGAAGGAGAAATTAACTCTGAACTTAGTTACTCTTAGCCTGGTATCTGACTCTCTTTGTGCTTAACTTTTGCAGTGTGCTTGGACGGAACATTACCGGGCTACCACTTGCATCCGGGGAGCGGGGAAGGGGCAAACAGTTGGCTCATTGAATTGGAGGTTTGTCTGACAACTCTCCGAATGTAGAATGTGATCATACTTAGCTTTGCATTTTGTAAATATTTTGTTATTCTTTTACTTTGTTAGTTTCAAGTAGAAGCTCAATATCTTAAATAGTCCAGTGTGTACTTAGTAACATAGATTAAACCTATCAAAAGAGGATCTAATGATTGATGATTTGGAAATACAGTTTTATAAGTAGGAAATGCTTGTGAATATAAATTGTTTTCAAACTTTTAGATATTTACATATTAACCGATGTTAGCCCATAGCTGACTTCGGGCACGTATATTTTAAGATATATTAATGTTTCATTTGCAAAAGAAATTTATTTTGTGAAACTTGTGGTAGGGTGGAGGGTGGTGTAACAACATGAAAACTTGTGTTTACCGAAAAGGGACACATCGTGGCTCGTCAACCCTTTTTGAAAAGGAGATTCCATTCACTGGAATACTAAGCAACAAGGCTGAAGAAAATCCAGGTTCATTACGAGATAGTTTGCATATTTCATTACTGACATTGATTCTTCTTTCTTCTGTTTCAAATTCCATTTGCAGCAATTTTTTTCTTATTTTGATCTCCATATGCAGATTTTTTTAACTGGAATAGAGTAAAGATACGGTATTGTGACGGGGCCTCCTTCGCTGGGGACAGTGAAGATAAGGTTTATAATGTGCTGTGCCATTTTGTTCCTCAGTTTTGTCTGTCTTATATTGAGTTTTGGTTAAATATGTGAGCATCAAACAGTGAATTTTTATGTGTTTCTGTGTAGGCTACAGGATTGCAGTTCAGAGGACAGCGCATATGGCTTGCTGGAATTCAAGAACTAATGTCAAAAGGAATGCACAATGCAGACCAAGTAATTTCTTACGATTTGCCGGCCTTTTTCTCCTTCCCTTTTACCTACCTCTGCTAATTCAGCTTTGATACTATGAGCGCTGTTTCAGGCCCTTCTTTCTGGTTGCTCGGCTGGTGGTCTAGCCTCAATATTACACTGTGATGAGTTCCAAAGTTTCTTTCCTGAAAGCACCAAAGTGAAGTGTCTGAGTGATGCTGGATTATTTATTGATGCGTAATTCACAAATCTTTAATTTTCTTAGTCGTCTCCAATTTAAACTTTGACATTCTTGTGATTCCCAAAACATTAATAGCCATTTTGGATTTGCAGTGTTGACGTATCAGGTGGACATACACTTCGAGATTTTTTTGGCGGTGTAGTTAGCTTGCATGGTGTTAAAAAAAACCTGCCGAGCACTTGTACTGACCACCTAGATCCAACTTCGGTAAAGTTCTCCTCTTTTTGTATTTTTCGTTTCTCCTGTTGATTCACGCTGATCATATAAAATCTTATCATTTACTCTTTACCGCTTTTTTCCTTCTCAGTGCTTCTTTCCACAGAATTTAATTGCCAACATTGAAACCCCGATGTTCATCCTCAATGCTGCCTATGATTCTTGGCAGGTAATTTTGATTTCATTTTATTGGTAAACTTAGCTCATGAAAATGCATCAAGGTTAAATTTTTATCACTTTCTTGTTTTAGCATTCAAATAATACGAAAGATAAGCATAACAAATTCAGTTCTCCATTTGCCTCATTTATTCAGATACACGAGAGCTTGGCTTCTCCTGCTGCTGATCCTCAAGGTACTTGGCATGACTGCAAATCGAACCATGAACGATGTTCAACATCACAAATCCAATTTCTGCAAGGTGAATTCTAATTATTCGACATTTTTTAGCTTGTTTTATTAAGTTTTTGATCATGTCCCAGAATTTAATCATTTGAATTTGCTGTGGATCAGATTTTAGAAATGATATGCTGAATGCAGTAAAAGGCTTTGCAACATCTCGACAAAATGGTTTATTCTTAAATTCATGTTTTGCACATTGCCAGTCAGAGAGACAAGATACCTGGTTTGCAGACGATTCTCCAGTTATCGATAACAAGGTATCATAATCATAGAATATGATGTGTCCATTGGTATTTTTGCCGTATATGGTGGAAATCTCTCTACTCAAACAAACTATCATCATTTGAGTTGTACTGCATATGCAGGCCATTGCTATTGCTGTTGGGGATTGGTACTTTGATCGATCAAATATCAAGGCCATAGATTGTCCATATCCATGTGACAAAACTTGTCACAACCTGGTTTTTAAGTAACTGGGATTTCTATTTGACCTTGTATAATATTATTTTTTATCGTGATCATTGTTTACAAGTAACAAACAATTGGAAGAATACGTTTGAAAGCAAATAATGCGACAGCTTGCTGTGAAATCCTACTTGAATTCTTATGTATTTCTCTGTTCATTTGAGGGTTGTGACTTATCAGAACTTTCAATTTAAGATCTTGAGGTTACCATTTTATTCCTTTCTTTTTTCTTTGCTTATGATGTGCTAGCCCACTAGTCTTTTAGATTTAGTTTAGCCTATATTTATTTTTGTTTTTGAAACAGGTTTGGTCTATTTTCAACTTAAGCTGGACTCTGTACAGCTAGCAAACAATTTACATGTTTTATCTAGCCTTTTAAGTTCCTGGAATCCTGTAATTTTCATATAATATTGCCCTGTATTTGTATATAAGCAGTTGAATATCAATGAATAAAACACAACTTTCAATTCTAATTATTCTAAAGAAATTTTCGATCATCATCTCAAACCTTGTCGTAAGTAGCAAGGATCTTTAGATGGTTAGCATCAAACATCCGTTAAATAGGGATGCATATAACTAACTTTTTAAAGAACCAAATGATTTCATTTGTGATCGGAAAGAAAATGAAAGAAAATATTTTCATCTTCACCATCGCCTTCTCCACTGCACCCCACTCCACACCAAACCTCATGGCTGCTGCAATCTTCGCCGTCCCAAAACCAATCGTTGGTTTTATCATGAAGAGTGAAAAAGGGAGTTTTTTCTGACTTATCTTAAAAAGGAAGACTCCAACTCCATGCATGAGGCTAATTCGTATAATTAGATCCGCTTAGGCATTCGGCAGAACTAAATGAAGAGAATAAAAAAGAAATGGAATGGGCTCATTTCAATTTCAGGATAGCATCACCTACAACCACATCTAAAATCGCAACCATCTTAAAAATTGAAGCTACTATCGCCAATTATCATAGGATTGGAAAACGAGGCAGACGAATATACCCTCTTTTTTAAATAACATAAAAAGAAAAATGAGAAAAAAATAAAGAATTGGCAATAAGTCCATAAGATGGGAGTATTGCGCCAATAAACCGGAACTAAATGAAGAGAATAAAAAAGAAATGGAATGGGCTCATTTCAATTTTAGGATAGCATCACCTACAACCACATCTAAAATCGCAACCATCTTAAAAATTGAAGCTACTATCGCCAATTATCATAGGATTGGAAAACGAGGCGGACGAATATACCCTCTTATTTAAATAACATAAAAAGAAAAATGAGAAAAAAATAAAGAATTGGCAATAAGTCCATAAGATGGGAGTATTGCGCCAATAAACCTATTAAAAACCTACTAATTTTAGCACTGTTGCGGAAGTTCATTCCAAGTAATTTCAAATCGGTGTTTTTCGGACTCAGTTTAACGTACCTTTCTCTACCAAATAACCAAACCAATCGGCTTCAATCCACAACCAATATATTCATCTCGGTTACTATTCAATTGTACCCACAAAGGACAAGAAAATGTCATGATTTGTAGCTACCAAGGCAAAAAGAAAATACCATAAAAGTAGGATATGAAGGAACCACAAAGTACACAAAGTAATCAATCGGTTTTAGCACTTCAAAGGGGCCGATTTTCACACTTCAAAAGGGCAGCTGAGTTTCTCCTTAATTCACACACAAGTCACACAAGAAAGTGGATAGGGTTATAGCCTTATAAATATGCTAAGATTAGGAGGCTTAAATGGATCAAGATTGAAGCCATTCAAAAGGGAATAAAATTGAATCGAGCAGAGTTCATGGACTTAGTTGTTGGACTTATTTCATTCATCGGTCTAAGCCTATGAAATATAATATCCCACATTAACATCATAACCTGAGATTTATTGAGTATCAAAAGTCAACAAACACAAATGGGGGAGAGTGATAAATTCCTGTACTTTTGTTTTCTTCCTGGATGGAAACTGTAGGGTATCGAGGGACTCAATTATTTGATTCACGTGTATTCACAACCACAAAATTGCATGGCATGCCATTCAGGGAGATGTACAGTGAGTAGGGTGTTTGGTGGGAATTAAACTAGATTTTTTAGTATATTGTGATAAAAGTTTTTAAAATGTGTGGTTGAAAAGTTGCAGGACTCAATGTGGTTAATATTGATTGTTTGACTTTGACTTAAATTAAAATCAAATTTTAATCCAAACCAAACATACTCTAAAACTTGAATACATGTATTCAAGAAAAGAAGAATAGACCGTATTTTTGCGTCCGCATGAGAGCACAAGAATAGACTCATACCTTTTATACCCCACGTATAGACGGTACAATATGTCAATTATTTGATTCTTTGGATTCAAGCTTTCAACGTTTGAAATGTTCTTTGAATTATTACAAGTTAACTATTCGCGCTATCCATACTAGTTCTCAGATAAACAATTTGAAGATTAGTCAGATCGAGCTTTCAACGATTGAAATGCTCTTTGAATTATTGCAAGTTAATTATTCGAGCTACCCATACGAGCTCTCAAATAAACAATTTGAAGATCAGTCAGATTCTATCTTGCAACGACATGTCGACAAATCACTGACTCAACTACGCTTCTTAATAAATTGGAACCAACTCAAGACTCAATAATACATATAGCGTTCAAGTTTTAAATAATATTAATTCCAATAATTATGTCATGTGTCAACTACATTGGTTCTACACAAGAAGCGCAAAGTTAGAGCAAAATATTTTGGCTCTTAGCCCTAATTTGGTTTACCTAAAAAAGTTGATAAGAATCATATTTAAAATCTACGATTAATTTTAGCCACACATTTAATGAAATCTACAATTTTTATCAACTTTTAAAGCATGCATTTCATCAACTTCAATTAAAATATCATAAAAATCTATTTTTTTAGCGATCAAACGGGGACTTAAAAAGAAGAGGAAGCGTCTAAGTGAGAGACTTTTTCATTATGGTGTCTCTTTTATGTATCAAATCAATATGGCTCCGCAAGAAAGAGAGCCCTCTTTTACTGTTCCTTCCACAGGTAGAGAAAAGTAGCGCCAACAAGGTGTCAACTCTATCATTTTATGGCATTTCGAGTCATCAAACAATTAGTGATAATCCCAAATTCCACAGCCTTCTATTGGAAGATTCTTGATTTTATTGTGAGTGATTATGAAGATATGCTATATAAACTTTAAAAAGCCTCAAGATAACAAAAGGAAATAGGGTCTTATGACCTTCGATGAATTCGGTAGTTGTCTTTTAAATTTCAAAATCAATTTCACACGTTAAAACTAGATTTACCTCGTGCTTCTTTTACAGTATATGACGACTTTCAATGGTCCAATCCAATTTATCTAGTCTACAGACTAAACACATTCATTGTATCAAGAAAGTGATCCTATAGTATGGATAAAGTGCATCACATCCAAAAATTCTACGAATGCAATCTAATAATTGGGTTTTCGCCGTTTCGGACATTATTATGTTATAGTCCTAACTAGTTTTCATAAATCAAACATCGTTACCAAAGTTCAGGTCTGATCTCCTACTGTCCATAATGGCAAGATAAAAATTTCTTGACGTGGCAAAAGAAACTTAATTATGGTTATGTGAATCAATTTCATACCGAAGTTTAGAAAAATTAATATGCTTAAATGGATGTGAAAGTACTGTCAAAAGTGAAAACCATCTCTATCCGCAGAAGACAACGACAGACGCCCATTAAAGGCAGATGATTCCTTGAATCTTGCATAGGGGAGCACTTTATGCCCTTTTCAATTGTTGTCCACTTCGGATAAGTCTAGTACTGAATTCCAGAAAATGCAAAAAGTATTAATAGTAATTAACAATAATAAATATTTGATTTGTCTAACAGACATGATTACGATCATAAAAAATATATGCAAGCGCAGCAAACAATCGGAAAGATCTTAATTTTTATCATTAACAGTGTAAAAAAGATGAACAGGGAACAGCAGCATATTAATTCTGCTTTGAAACATCAAAGGGCTGAGAATTTCTTCATAGGTGCTTCTTGTTTTTTATTTTTATTTTTTATTTATTTTTTTGTACAGATTTAAAAA